GCATCACTGAATACATCAACTAGGGGGACGGAACAATTGTTGAGGGAATGTGTAGACTGAATAGTTTTGAATACTCGTCTGCTAGCACAGGTCTTGGGACGATCCGTTGAGTGTCGTGGCGTGTTAGTATACTATAGAGGGAGGAGAAAAAAAATAGATTTAGGGTTTCTTTTCAGAGTGGATGTGATTGCTACTGTAGTAGCAATAACTTATCATAATGGCTCGTGGTGTAACGCAGTCCAAAAGTCAAAAGGGATTAGGCTGGGTATCCAACGCTATCGGTAGAGCAGGTCAAGCACTAGTTATGACAATAATAATGTACGTAAAACCGATGTATGAATAACAGATAAAGCACAATTATAGATCTACGGATATAGACAAGGAGTTTAATATCGGGAAATGACAGACTATAGTATAAACCTAAAACAGCTAATAACGAGTAACCTGATATCCACGTCGTATTCGAACACGCGCGCTGAAAATCATCCACGTAAAAACTAAAATGGGGGAGGTGGGGCCTTCGAAATTGGCCGCGCGGTCCGTTACATCGTCGGACTTGGAAATATACAATCACTCTTCACTAACTTTATCTGGGATACATGTCCCTCGTTGCCATAGAAACGTTGTGTGATTATGATCATCTTAAATTCTGTGAAATATTCTGCCGTTTTCATGAAGCAACTTCGAACTTTTGGCCACCGAATTTTACCTTCTTTTGGCAAATCGGTTCGTAACAGGGAGAGAAGAATTTACGGAAATCTCAAAACATTTCCCAGAAGACACAGAGCTGGCTGGCAGGTCGCACTACGCAAACGATCAGTTTCATACATCTGCATTCCAGCAGTCATCAGTGGAAATGTGCGCTCCTTGCTTGGCAACACGGTAGAAGTAATAGATCTGATAAGGAGACATGAATATTCGAAGGTTGGAGTCGTAATGCTTCAGAAAACCTGGCTCCACAAAGAAGTTGATGTTAACGTAGTCAAAATTGACAATTTCTCCATCTGCCGAATTGACCGACCCGTTCCAGTTCACAAACCTGGCGGTGGTGTTATCACATACATAACTGACAATTGATGCAAATCAAGCAAACGAGTCTTTATGTATTCTACCACTTTTATCAGTACTTCACAGTACAAATGCAAACACAAACACCTCAGTAACTACCGAAACATTGTCTTTGGTAACATTTACATTTCTCCTTCTTGTTCCACTGATCATTTTAACGAGTTCACAGTTATTTTCTCCGCCGCTTTACTAAATTACGTAGACTCCTCCCTTTTCATCGTGTGTGGTGACTTCAATAGGTTTGATGTGACATCAAACCTTGTTAAATTTCCGACCAGACTCCAGGCTTGTCTTAATTTGTGTTTCATTAACGACCTGAATTTATTTAACTTTGCGCTGTCGTTCCCCTATTGTCACCTCTGATCATGCAACAATGAAATTATCCCCCATGATCTACATTAGATCCAATCACCAGTTTTACACTCGGCATCGTGATCGTCGTCTTCGTCGGCGTCAACGCCAACCCGAAAATCTTGCTAGACTAAAAGATATATTAGATTAGACAGATTTCTCTTTATTTGCACACAATGACCCCTCTATATTTTGTGATACTGCGACTGAATACTTGAAGTTCTGTTATGACACGTGCTGCCCGTGGGAAACTTTACACATACGGTCAGACCGTTTTTCGTCCCCACACTTCAATGATTGCGTCGGAAGAAAGAACAAGCTTTCAAGGCGAAAAAGTATTCTTCGGTGAGAGACCACTCAAAAGCAATCAGGGCTGAACTGCGGAGAGTAAACGCCGCTTATGTGCATGCACTGCTGGCAAACCAACATTGTCGGGATACATGGAAAATGATGTTTGAGTTCTGCGGCCTCAAAACGAAGGGGAATCTTCCAGCTGTCAATGTGGACGATATCAATCGCCTATTCAGCAATGCTGAAACCGACACCCCCATTCCATCCACAGCAGTTGCCCCCGCTACAGATATTGTTAATTTAAGTACTGATCAAACTGAAGTATTCAAAACCTTCATCAACCTGAAGTCTAATAAAGCATGTGATCCTGATGGACTGCCACCTGTTGTGCTCAAAGAATGTGCAACCACCCTTTCCCTTGTTTTTATTAACCTACTCAACCTGTGTTTTACTAAACATTGCATTTCAGACTGCTGGAGAGTGACTTCTATCACATCAGTACCCAAAAAAGATCCTCCAAATTTCGCCCGATTGCTTGCACTTCTGTGGGTTTGAAAGTCATGGAAAAGACTTTACTACAAAAGATGCTGCCCCAGCTGAATGCACCTGATCCCAATCAATTTGCCTACCGCAGTTCCAGGTCAACCATCGATGCGTAGGCATCCCTTATTCCTTATATTTCTTCCTCCTTGGACAGGAAATGTAAAGCTGTTCGGGTGTTTCTTTGATGATAGTGATGCCTTTAATTGTGTTGATTGGTCCAAACTTCTTCACACTCTCTCTAAGAAAGGCATTCAGCCGGAGCTTACCAATCTGTTAAGTAATTATTTCAACCATCGATCACAGTTTACCAAATATAAGGGTCGTAACTCTTCACTTTTACCCTCCACTCAAGGAGTTCTTCAAGGCGCTATTCTCTCTCCCTTCTTGTTCACAACTTATATTTCTTCAATGCCTGCTTTTGATGATTGTCTGCTCATTAAGTATGCCGATGATGTTTTACATGGCATGATGTTTTTGAACTCCTCCGTGTACCCCAAGTTATGCAGAATATTTCACTGCTCACCGACTGGTCTTCACAAAACAATCTTAGAATGAATCCTTCCAAGTGTAATGTTTTATTTTCTTTACTGAAGGGTGATCAATATATTGACGTGATGAATTCTTGTCAGCATGTCATTGTCAATGGTGAAGAAGTCTCCAGAGCATGCTCCGTCAAATATTTTGGGTTCCCGCAATCTTTCTTGGTCTCCTCATGTCGTCGAGACATTTCACAAAGTCAGAAAACTCACTTTTTACATTATTCGTTTGAAGATGCTATCTACCCCAACTCATTTAATAAAGCGTTTTGTTTTCTCTTTTATCCTTCTCCACTGGCTTTATGCATCCCTTGTTATTTTTCCGGGTCTTTTAATCAGACTTCAAACTCATACGCACATCCATCAAACACAAATGTTGATACAGCGGTATATCTCTTGGGTATGTTGTGCAGTTTATTATTTCACAGCACTTTAGGGCATGCCAGAAACATTCCACCGGAATACTACTTGACCCATCTCACCCACTGTACCCTCATTTTAGTCAATGTATTTCTTATCTAACACTCGTTCCATGTATAAATATATGGCAGCACGCACCACTACATACAAGTCTTCTATAATACCGTACCTGGCGCGGTTTCTTACCAACGCTGAACTTGTCTTTGGGACTCTTGGACAAAATCTTTGCTAAATTGGCTTTTTGTGTAAGTAACGTAATAAGCTTTTGGCAGATACCAATTCCCATCTTTCTTTCATGCTAAAGTTCTGAAACTGTGTTCACTGTTCTGAGAAGTGCACAATATTGCAGAATGGGCAGCGTAACTCTTGGAACACTATGGAAAACGTTTTTTCACGAGTATATCCCTCCTTGGGTTTAGAGTTTGTCCAAGGTTTTCTCTCACCTAACAAATCACTGTACTTATTGCGATGTAAACGAGCCTTGGCACAAATGAACTCACATAAATCTCGAAATTCTGGTTATCTGTCAGACTGATAAATCTCACCGGCTCTTCTTATCCATTCTACCGCCATGTATCTTGGCAGTTTACTCAAAATTTGATCTAGGGTGCTGCTTGAATTCAAGTTAGCCAAAATTTCTAATCTCTCCATAGCATCAGCACAAGTTTATAACTCATTTACGTAAACGAGTAAGCTCTCCGCGTCCATCTGAAGCTGATCTGGTGCGGTTATCTCTTGTAACGTAGATTGAACTATCATATGACGAAGGCCAAACAACTCTTTCAATATAGGCCGTGCCTTTTTGTATCCTTCTGACGCAGGATACACCAATCATCCTCGTATGACATCCTTAGTCTTACCACGACAATAATGGTAAAGATAAGTAAGTAGCTATCCATCATATTTAACTCCATTCTCCACCTGTCCATCAAACTGGCGAAAGAAGCTAATGTACTGACTCGGTGACCCGTCAAAACAAGGCAATTCACATCTAGGCAAATGCAAACGAGTCAGCAACTTATCAATGTTGTACCGGGCCATATCTGAACTGGGCTTCGTGTAGGAAGTATTCGATTCACAATCCCAAGGATACCTAAGCCTCGATGATGTTACCTGTTATTCTGCTAAGGGAAGTTTTACCCTGAGTTGATCATAGACGGG